TGATAGACAAACACCTTCAAATACTTTGTACAACAAGCTCTTTGGGAAATTAAATGTCAGCTGCCACTAATTGTTTTAATCAGAATTTTGGGAGGGTACAACAGATTCTTAGCTTATTTGACAGCATGAAGAAATGCTTATTTTCAGCTCTAATCATTTTTTAAATTGGTTAAAAGTTTTGTCTATAAAATGGAAAAAAAAAAAAAAGAAATACATAGAAACAAGAAGCTCAAAACCCAAGTTGACATCTTCAAGCTGCTTGTTTTCCAAATTTGATGGTGTTCACTGAGCAGTCCTTTAAAACAATCGCCTGCAAGAAACTAGAACCAAAGTTCATATTTGTACAAATTAAGTGATTTTTAAAAAATTCTGACCATCAACTGTGGTCTATGTGGTTGTAACTATATGTGTTATGTTTAGAGAATTCAAATTGCCAATGTATTGTGTGTGTGTGCATATATATATGTATATCAGTGTACAGCTCGTCTTAACAGTGTACAATTACTGTCCTCTCAAAATAACTTGCCGTTAATGTCTAAACCGCTGGCAACAAAAGTGAGTACACCCCTAAGTGAAAATGTCCAAATTAGGCCCAAGTAGCCATTTTCCCTCCCTGGTGTCATGTGACTCGTTAATGTTCCAAAGTCTCAGGTGTGAACGGGGAGCCGGTGTCTTAAATTTGGTGTTATCGCTCTCACACTCTCTCATACTGCTCACTGGAAGTTTAGAATGTCAGCTCATGGCAAAAAACTTACTGAGGATTAGAGCTGGACCCAGATAGTCGAATAATTGGTCAGTGTGGTGGTATCCGGATATCAATTTTAAGATCCAAATACATATATGCTTTTCACTGTACAGAATAGAAGGGAGGAATGAAAGTGAGGGGAATGAAAGTGAGGGAATAGCGCGTAAACCTCATGTGAAATGATTGTCTTGAGCTGTAGAGCACCTCACCTTCAGAGTGAGCATGTGGCCAGAGCACAGAGCTGAGATTAATTTATGTTAATTCATAATAGTTGAGTATTTCTTGGATCCCAGAAGAACAAAAATCCATCTCTGCCAGTGGTCACCCTTAAGAAATTACGATAATGTTTCTTAGTTTTCTTACGAGCTGGAAGAGGAGCTAAATTCAATTTCATGTATTTCTTATTTTAATGCAGTCCATTGCTTGCTTGGGAAAGAGCTTCTTGGCTTTGCCCATTTTGAATTTTCCATGCAGTAAGACTGGTTTATGTTCAACCAAAACTCCCCCTGAACTGTTTAACTCATTCATAAATTATTAACAGATTGCTGCACTTTTTATACTAATTTGTCCATAGAAATATGTGATACACAGGGTAAAAAAGTGTAGCAGCATATTAATTGTTTATTCACAACATTTTCGTATTTCCTCTTTCACAGAGGAATAAACGTAAACCTCAGCCAGTGGTCACCCATTAGGATTGACGGTTTTGACAGTCAAACTGTATTTTTATAAGCACACATTAAAAGCTGGAGGAAGACAAAATTTGATTAACTTTGTTTATTTTAAGCAATCCATTGCTTTCTTGGGACATTACTTCATGGCTTTGCTCATTTTTAAAGTTCCATTGTGTACGACTGATTTATGTTGAACCAAACCTCCTTCTGATGTTACCCTTTTTTCAAATCCTTAGCAGATTTATGCTATATACTGATTTGTTTTTACTGTGTTTACTCTCTGTTTTAGAGTCCAAGAAAGAGGAAGGTGAGGGTAAGGAATCAACACCTACACCTACAGGTGATGTCTCTTCTAAAGTTGACCTACCGCCTTCATCTATGACCGAAGGTTCTCCAATCATGCCACCTAATGATGGTGCTGATGAGCAGGGGAAAGATGCCAGCTCTGATCAGGTCACTGGAAAAAATACAGAAGAAAATGCTGGTGGATCTGACTCATTAGGCTCAAACAAAGTAAATGAATCAAACAGTCCCAGTGATGTAAAAGACCCTAACTCTGAAGACAAAGGTGCAGGACCAACAGATGAGAAAAATTCAAAGTCAAAACAAACACAAGCAGGAGAAGACAACCAGCAAGACAGCGACTAAAAAGAAGTTTCTGAAGATAACAATGAATCAGACCGTCTCAATGATGTAAAAGAGAAGCCCACTATTAGTGAAGACAAAGGTGCAGAAACAACAGATGAGCAAGATCCAAAACCAAAAGAAACACAAGCAGAAGGAGACAACCAGCAGGAAAGCAACCAAAAAGAAGTTTCTGAAGATAACAATGAATCAGACGGCACAAGTGACCGAGAAGAAATGGAGCAGGACAAGACTCTTGACTCTTCTCAGCCGCCTCAGAGCCCCATAACACCAAAACCAGACAACAGTAACACCAGCACCTCCCCTGACACTGTACATGCAGTCGCAGGTCAGGAAGTAAAGGACAAGACCAGGCAGAGCGGAGAGTTAGACAGCAGCATGAAAGAGGCTGAAAAAGGTAAAGCAGCTGAAGATTAAAATGAAGTCCAGTGTGGCCCAGAAGAAGAAAGAAGGTGGACTATAAGAGCTTTAGTGGGGATAAAGAAGGGCAAAAGAAAACTTTTGAATAGGTGTTCATACAACTGAAAAGAGAAAATTCAAGAAGCAGGTAATTAGAGTGAAGTCGTAAATACAACAGAGCAGAAAACGAAGGGATAAGATCAGCACAACGATGCAAAGGAGAAAAGAGTTTGGATATCGACTTTCAATTTGAACGGTCCAAGGACCAACAAATCTTTGCTGTGGGACTGCAAAAAGACATGGAGACAATGACAGTATGTCACAGTAGACCGAACACAAGTCTGTCTGTCCAGTGGGACATAAAGATCTCTTTACAACCAGTAATAACAGCATGATAACAAAACAGTCTACTCAGTCCTCCTACTTCTAACCTTTAGTTTGCTTTTTTTTTTTTAAAGATTGCAGAAGTATTCATAAGTATTTATAAATCAAGACACTCTAATTATTAAGTTTTCTGGCTTACATACTGTGACCTTTTTCCAAAACAGAAACACTACAGTATAACAGCAATGAGATTGTTCCTTACTTATATTAGGAAGAGCATCAGTTTACTCTTCTGATTCGTGAAAAAGAAAGTATATTTGTTTTGCTGTACGTCTGTAATGTAAAAATGTAAGAAAAATATAGAGTTATGTGAATGTAATGTGTATAATTTTAGCTTGTTTTTGCTATTTCTTTTTTTTTTTGTTTTTACATTGTTGGGATAATGATTGGATTTGATGTGAACTCAGGGTAATTATTCTTTAAATAATTGAGATACCACAAATTAAGCTGCAGCTACATTTTGCTTCTGTTTCAGTTGATTTTATGTCGCTGTGTTTTGCTGATGTTTTGGAGAACTTTGCACTGATTTTAACCATGTGTAAACTCGCTACCGGTTTTTTCTCTTTTTGTATTATATCGCTTTTAATTTTTAAAAAAATTGTATTTCTTTTTTACCCTAAGCATATAATTTCTTATCTGTGTCTGTTTAAATTAGCACCTTTTGGGACATGTCGGTGTGTTGGGGGCAAGTCAACAACACCCAGTTCAGCCTGTGCAGTTCTGATAGATGGAACTTTTGGCTGAGTTCATGTTTATTGTACAAAGTCAGAAATTCAATGCATAATTTTAAAATAAAATGTTCTCACGACTGTCATATTACATGTTTCTATCCTTTTATTGAAGATACGACTAAAATGGTGCATCACGAGAGGCACAAATGTAACCATTATGGAGCGTTACCCTGATCATCAATCATGATTTCCACTTCAGAAACAAGTGGCAGCGTGAGGCCTGTTCCTTCTAAAAATATAAGGCAACAGTCTTGAGCATCTGGTAAGTGACAACTTTTTCCCTTTGTCAGCTCCTGCACTGTGGCCCACCTTCATGCATGTTTTTTCCACAGACTGTCTCACACTGGAAGTCACATCACAACTGTTTCACATAAATCTCAGGTTCACTAACCACTCACATTGACAGTCTCCTCCAAGCAACACCGGTTTGTTACAGATTACACAGCGATCAGCTTTATTATTGTGACTTCCTGATATTCAACAATAAAAAGCACAAGATGTTCACACATAAAGTTCAACATTACAGTATGCATTTTTAAAGTTTAAAAATTGTTCCTTTTAATTGTTGTTAGATGCAGTTTTGCTCAGAATTAATCGATGAAGATATTCCTTACAAGATCATCTTTCTGGAGGTTTTTGCACTTATGGGAAGACATGTTTGTTTTAAAAATAGTCTCTTATCAAGGCTTAAAAAACGCTTAAATCATAAAATCACAAGCGACGTAGATGTCTTAATGTTCAAACCTGGATCCAGGCTCCATGCTGCTTCAGCCAAGAACATAATCACGACATAAATCCACGTCCCTCATCTCTGCTTGCTGTCAGGTTCTTCTGTAAATCAGCTACAACAGAACCTCTCGCACCATAAAACATCAAGTCTAGTGTTTTAACTAAACCCTTAAACCAGCTCTGAACGGCAACTAAAGTAACATCAAACCAAGATGCATGGTTCCGGTGCTATCATTCGTTCTACTTATGCAATTTTACTTTCTCTGTTTACACTCAACAAGCTCTGAGCTCCTTCACCCCGTCCAGGCAAATTTCAAATCCTTGACAAGGCCTCATGATACAGAAATGTATAAGATGTGTGACCACAAATCCCTCCCTTCTTCTTTCTCTTCCCCCTGCACCAAACCGCTTTCCTCACTTTATATATATTCCTTGCTATCAGGGATACACTTACCTGAAAGAAGTGTACTGTACGGTGTAGAGCACTCATGCGTTTTGCCTTTTAAGGTCATAGTGTTTAGGTTTCACTGGAATTCGAACAAAAGTGGGGATTTTTTTGTGGGCATTTTGGAGCTTGTGCTGTAGTTTGTTGATGTGTGGCATGCAGAGAGGTGCTTCTATAGTGTTTAGTCTATTTTCCTGATATAAACAAAACTGACAAAACTTTAAGAATATTTTTTTTTACCTGTAATAAATCTACAATATTGTATAATATACTTTTGAGCAACATTAGAGTTGTTGTGTTTCATTTTCTTTTGATACATACAGACATAATGCAAATATTATTTACTTGGAATCACTGTAAACAAAATAATTCTAGAGCCACAGGGTCGTGAATGAGCTTCTAGGTACTAATGTGGAATGTATTCTTGTTAAAATTTGTAGTCTATATTTTTTGTCATATAATTTCCAAATAAATTGCAACTTTCCTAATTTTTTTCTCAGATTATAATAAATTGATAATAGTGTGAGCAGAAATAAGTTAGCATTTTGCTTTGTATAGTTTGTATATTTTGTAGGCCTTCTATGTTAATCATATTAGACAGATGATAGGTAATTATATATCCTATCAGTAATATCAAACATGTTTATTTATTGAAGGTTGCTGGGTTTGCTTTGGTATTCATTTGAAAGCAGAATAGTATTTTCAATAGAGCCAGAAAATTAAAAGATTTTTTTTTAGTATGTGTCAAGGGGCGATGAAATGTTGTACACTAATATTGAAAGGAGAAAAAAGAAATAAACTCATGAACTGTTTGACAGCTTAAGACTGCAACTCTCTAATCCACACACCAAAAAGTATTGACACTTGCATGGGTTGATTTTAAAAGAAACTGTAAGGCTGTTTTTGTATCAATAGGGGGCAGTGTTTATCAGCCTTTCCTTCTGTTCACTGGGTGATTTTTAAGCTTAGAAGTGAGAAATTAGTTCTTTATAAGACCTCAGCACTGAGATGGTTGAAGGACGTTGAATTCTTTAAAGGCAGATTACACAAACAAGCAGGAGAAAAATACACTAATGACGTGTGGCTTTGCAACACAAAATGTAAAGGCTTTAATCGGGCTTTGAGATCAGGACGGCTTGTTGATGAAACGTTGAATAAGGGCATTATAGAGGAAGGTCTGGGTCTGAGCAGCGTTCAAGGATATTACACCGAAACGTTCAGAGAGACTGTCTGTGCTCCTGAATGAAATGTGTCTGCTAAATTGTCAGTTATATCACATTTATTAATGCCTCTGCTCTGTAGGTCTGCGTACCTAAAGGTGAATTCAGCGAGGAGTGAACCGGTGCCTCGGGAGCTGCTCGGTGATGTAAATGCATGAAAAGCAGGTTCACGACGAGCCGGTGTAGATTTCTCAGGGCGCTGGTTGGGCCATGTGAGAAAGTCATTCATGATTAGTTTAACCTCTGAGTCACAGAGAAGTCTGTGATCTGCTACCACCTGACCTGTGGGTTCAGGGCACAAGCAGAGAATGAACACTATCGTATTTCTGTGGCCACAACAAATACCAGGGGTATATTAGAGTATTGAATTATTCGTGGGGAGCGGGGCGCTGCCTCTTCAGCCGAGGGTCTCGGTGTTCTTACGCTGGAGCAGATTATTATTCAGGTTCCTCCGGTGGAGTGGTGCTTTGTTTTTCCGTGCTAACAATTTTTCATATAAGCATTGCCTCTCTGAGACAACAGAAGGGCATTTTGAGGTTTCCCAGGATTTTGAAAAACAACAATGGCATGCCAGCCCGTGCCGTACAACCGGCCAGGGCATGCCCTTTAATGCAAGAACTGCTGTTTCCTTTGCAACATCACATAGTTACATTACACCGGAGAGTAGTATTCCTTCAGATACAGGCCCTATTACACTTTCCCCTCAGATTGTTTATGTCCCTTTGGCCTTGTTGCAGTAGGAGAGAGCGGGGGGAAATAGAAGAATGGGCTACCCTCCAGAAGTGCCTTTTATACCAGGTTGATTAGCATGCTGGGTTGTTTAAATTGCCTCCTGGAGGGCTGACGTGAAATCGAACAATATCCTTTGGCTTTAGAGACTAGCCCCATAGCTTCTCATTTATTTTTATGCAGAGTTAGGACAGAGCCTTGGCACTCCTCCGCTGAGGAAGCTGAGCTCAGGGAGGCCAGGTCCGGGTAGGTCAGGACAAATCAATTAATATCTGCTCAATAAAAGTTCTTGGCTCTTTCTGAGGCCGTACTTTACCGTGACAGTGCAACCTGGGCACCGCCGTAATGATGTGGCTAAATTGTTAAGTGTGGTTGAGACATAATAATAAAATATCCCTTTCTTTCCTATCACTATTAAAGCGCTCTGTTAGGCTCTGATTTGTCTTCAGAAACTGCTTCCATTGTACAGGGATTAATGGCAGAGCATTGTTTGTCGTTGCTATTATTATACTGTATTAAACAAGGTTTCCCCTATTGGGTGATGATGTTTATGACTGTACTTGGGCCCAACTCAACCTCTATGGTTTTATTTTTCTGCTAGCATTTGGTCATCATGTAAAATTCAAGCGAGCCCAAGGCAGAAAGATTATTATACCCACGGCAGTAACCAACACAGTGGAAACCCTCATTAATATGCTACTTATATACCTTTAAGTGCCACAAATGGGACAGATAAAATGAGAGAAAGGTTGAAGATTGACTGTCCTCCCTGAACCAAAAAATGATCTCAGTAATCAGGAAAAATCCAAGCAACAATAAATAAGTCCCAGCATTTTTTATTTTAGTTTTTTTTGGAATCATAATGAGGCCTCCCTGTGTGGCGGAAAGGAAAGAAAAAAAATGTGATCAGATCATCAGTCATAATGTTGTCATAGCACCACTAATAAGGAACTTAATTTGAGGATGTTATCTACTGTTTGGTTGTGTCTGAACAACACAGTGTCTATCAAACACGCCGCTGTTGCCAGCTTGGTATCTGGTGACCACAATAAAAACACTGGTTATTAAACCTCCAGGCTGAGACGGAGGTGCGCACAGTGGCAGCCATGTTTGCGTGTGTCTGATGGTGGATTCCTGCACATCAGGACAGCTTAAAGCTAATTAGAGAGTCTCAGAGTCTCTCTCTTTGTGGCCTGGCTGGGGGTTTGAAGCTTGGTCACATATTTGTGCCTGCACACTTTCTCTGTCATGCATCTTGGCATTCAGCTCCTTCTGAAACATCAATGGTGAAGTCAATACGCAAATATTTTCTTCTGTATGGTGGGGGACTAATCTGTCTAATATTTGCATGTTTTCTTCATGATTTCTCTTGAGCATTTCGCTTCGGTGACTGCTTTCATCTTTGCGTTGTGAACCCAGGAACCTGGCATTTTATCTAAACAGTATGTGCACACAGCTGAGCATTAAACGGAGCCGACCGTGGTGTAAGATAGGCACAATCTCTTTTGTCAACCATTAGTTGTGTTCGTTTGACCCTAGCATTGGTTGCTGTACAGACATTCATAGTCACCTAGAATACTAATGCCTTTAGTGATTCCCTTACTTTTCCTCCAGTGCCACCAGTAAGTTGACATTTATGTTATTTGACATTCTAGCAGCTGCTAAATGAATGTACTAAACGGGAATTTTTCACATCGCATTCCCATCGTTCAGTGAAATGTAAATTTATGAGGGTGAATGTAGGAAACACTACACCTGCAAAACAACTCACAGCATTGCAACGCTACGCATGGTAGCATTTTAAATTGATAAAATTCCTGCAGAACATGGGCATCTCTTGAAACGGGAAAGAAAAAAAACAACAGATGGATGACACATTTGCACTTTGATTTATAAACTGTATTCCCTTGTAATGAGCACCACTCATCATCTGGTTTCACACACTTTGGCTTCAAACAACCAGCA